TAATTTTCTTTAATCCTAGATAAAACCAATGGTTATTTCTATGTATTGGTAAACTATCCTTCCACTATGGTAAATAATGTACAGTGGAAGAATAAAAGGAAACAATGGATATAACAAAATACCTTGTTTTACAATATTTTTTGGTTGTAACCCCTTTCCAGCCCCCTGGCATTTTCTGCTTCCGAGCTCATGTCCTCCCAACGCAGCAGCCATGTTCCTAATGCCTCACAGGATCATTGGACTCTGGTGACACCTGGGAATGGGTAGCAAAGCCTGACGCAGTGTTGTTGTTGTTTCTGTTTCCTTTCCACTTGCTGTTATGTTCACTCCAGTTTGTACACTGCCCACCTGCCTGCTCTGGATCAGAACACTGTCAACCTGCAATTTCTATTTGAAAAATTTGGCCCAGAGTTTAGTGCTTCTAATTAAACTTTCTTGAAAAAATACAGTTTTAAATGGCCCAGACATCCTCCAAAACTGGTGCTGCAGTAGTGCTGGTACCTTGGAAACCATTCTGAATGCAGCATTTGCTTTAGCTGTTTGAGCATCCAGATCTGTGCTTGAGTAGATTAAGATTATTCTAGATGCATATTCATTATAACTTTGTGTCCCCTTCCATGAAATTGGAGTCACGACTCCCACATACTGTCTCCTTATACTTGAAGGTTAGATCACAAAGTGAATTGACACCGGGGGGCGAGGGGACGGGGGAGGGCACCCAAGATCCATCTTCTGCTTTCTGTGCCCAAAACAGTTAGTCAGTCAAATGGAACCTACTGCTCTGGCTGATTCCAGATGCATCCGGGCTGCCTCTGACTGTGGGGCCTGGATCCCAAAGCGCTTTCTCTATCTGCACTCTTCAGGCCTTCAGAGGTGGCTGGAGCAAAGGTTTCTGATGATGTTCTTTTAATATTCTTTATTCTCTGAGTATGCTCCTAATGATGGCAGGTCAGTGCAAGACCATTTGCCCTGTGGTCTTCCATGGTCACTTAGTTGTCATGATTCTGAAAAGTAATTCATGATGTAATGGCACTGCACACTATGGTAAGAGGTAGGCTATTTTTCTAATATGAGTTTTCAGTTGGATGCTGGAAGGTCACATTTCATCAGTGGTAGCCGTAGACTCCTGCGTCTTATTGTATCCTCTGAGCTGGGTTAGGATTTCTCATTAACGTTTTGGCTTTACCATTAGGGGGCAGACCTGGATCATATTGAAAGCAGAAGTGCTTCTTCCTGCATTTGATTGGAAGAAGGGACAGGAGATGGGGAGGATCACTTCATCCATTTAAAACAATGGGAGAACATAGGTAGGCAAAATTATTCACACACGGAAACTTTGGTAGATGGAATGTAGTTACTCCTTACAATCAGAGCTGGGGTTGCCAACCCTCCAGGATTGTCATGGAGTCTCCAGGAATTAAAGATTAATCTTTAATGAAAGATGATGTCATGTGATGAAACCTCCAGGAATACCTCCAACCAAAATTGGCAACTCTAATCAGAGCATCTGCAGTATAACAAATGTCTCCTCTTGTCCAGTCCTGAGGAAGAGCTCTGTTGTAGCTCAAAGGCTTGTCTCTCTCACCAACAGAAGTTGGTCCAATAAAAGATATTCCCGCACCCACCTTGTCTCTTGTCTGTGGTATGTAACCTATCATTTAAATCAGCTTCTGTACCAGATGACTGGAGGATAGCTAACCTGACACCAATTTCTTAAAAAGGCTCCAGAGGCTATCCCGGCAATTACAGGCCAGTAAGCCTAACTTCAGTTCCTGGCAAATTGGTTGAAACTATAGCAAAGAACAGACACATAGATGAACATGATTTGTTGAGGAAGAGATTCAACATGGTTTTTGTAAAGGGAAACCATGCCTCACCAATCTACTAGAATTCCTTGAGGGGGGTCAACAGACATGTGGACAAGAGGGATCCAGTGGATATAGTGTGCTTAGATTTTCAGAAAGCCTTTGACAAGGTCCCTCACCAAAGGCTCTTAAGCAAAGTAAACTGTCATTGGATAAGAGGGAAGGTCCTCTCATGGATCAGTAACTGGGACCTCCTGAGGTCCCTTCCAACCCTGATATTCTATGATTCTATGATTCTAAAAGATAGAAGGCAAGGTGTAGGAATAAATAGTTTTCACAATGGAGAGAGGTAAATACCGGGGTCCCCCAAGGATCTGTACTGGGACCTGTGCTGTGCATCATATTCATAAATGATCTGGAAAAGTGAGGTGGCAAAACTTAACTATTTTCAGTAATTTGGTATCATCTTCAAGTCCAAAGCTGACAGAAGAGGTGCAAAGGGATCTCATGTGACATCTCCAGCAAAACAGACTGTGACACAACAGCACATTTCACAACCATGACATGGGTTTGGAAGACTTTATTTGACACCTTTTGCTGGATGTCTGACAGCTCACAAAGTTAACAGCTCTGCGCAGTGCAAAGTGAGGCGAGGCTGCGCACTGTGAGCTCTAATGCACAGACTAGCTCCAGGAACAACCAGTCCTTGGGGAACTTCCCCTAATAGGAATATTTTCATCCCTGATTGACTCTGCCACCTCAGGAAATGAGTGAGGACAAGTAGCAGGGGCCGGGAGCATTTATGGTATTGAGAGCAATCAGGAGGGACTCACTTCCAAAACAAGTCTGTCTGACCCATATACATTTAACATACGTATGTCAGATACACACCTGTATCAATGCCGCTGCCTAGACACCAGCTCAATACACAACCGGCCACTTGCTTGACGTCTGGGATGGGGAGGGTCTGTTACATTAAAAAGACACTACTCACTGTTCCCCCTTTGTTCCTTTCTGTGCTTTACCCTTCATGGCACGGCACCGCTGGCTCAGGCAAGGGTCACATTGATGCGCTTAGAGGGTATTCAACTGGACCAATGCCAGCTTGATATATCCAAGAAAATAAAAGCACAGTTTCAGGGAAGAGGGGGTCTTGCTTTGATTTGAGTGGAGGTATACTGCCTTCCTATATGTTATATAAAATAATAATGCCAAGAGAAGTGCACTGGGGCAGTAGACAGCCTGTGGCTAGGATGGCCAGATGTCTTGGTTGGGAGGAACGGTTCTAGTCTCCCAACCCCTTCTGTGGAAACAGGTCCTGGTTCTCACAGACTCCATGGCCATCTGGTCACCAGCTCACACCAACTGCCCTTCCTATGCTTCTGTTTTGTATAACAGCACTTCCTACACCCATTCGGGCAACTTCTGAGCACTCTCTGACTACTGCCGCTTCTCAGCTGATTGCAGCAGGAACAGAATAATACTACTACTTAGCTCTTATATAGATCTTTTCATCTGGTCCTATTTTACAGATGGGGAAACTGAGGTAAAGTGAAGTGACTTGCCAAAGGTCATATAGCAGAGCTGGGAATAGAACTCATGAGTTTAAGTTTACTCCCCTAGTCACTGGGTCACCCTGTTTCAGAACCATTAGAGCTAAGAAGAGGTGAGACAGGAGCAGAGCTTGAGAATGCCAAATAGCTGTTCCTCACTGCCCTAGAGAGGTAGGGATTGAGAGGAGACTCAGAGGTACGGAGTGAGCAGAGGACAAAGAATAATCGTCATCCTTGACATTTACACATAGAGAGAAGACAAAGGCAGAGAAAGCTTTCAAGAGAGAGAGGACTTTATAGGGGCTGATCAAAAGCCCATGAAGTCAGTGGAAAGACTGCCATTGACTTCAATGGGTTTGGGCTCAAGTCCATGCAGAGAACATGGCGATAAAGAAAAAGAGCAGAACTGGGCCTGGGGAAACAGGCTAGACATTTTAATTAAGGATCTGGAAGTTGGCAAAAACAAAGGAGGAGCTTGGGGTAAAGAATGCTTTCTTCCACTCCTCCCTTTATGGTAATGAATTTACATATGGGGAGGGAGGATTGATGGCTGAAGAGGGGAAGAGAGAAGGGAAGGGCATCCTTCTCCCTCATATTTCAGCTGCCAAGCCCTCCCCTCCAGGACAGGTATCACTTTGGAAACCTGCTCCCTTACTCTGTAATGCTTCACTGGATGAGCAAGGTCTGTCTGTCTCACAGACATCTGAATTATCCACGTAGGGAATCCCAAACAGCAGCTGGCAAAGGAATTTTGCAGAGTAATGTCTGATACTCCCTCCTGAAAACATTCTGATAACCAGGGCTGGCTCTGGCTTTTTTGCCGCCCTAGGCAAAAAAGCCTCCGGCCGCTCCCCCCGCCCCCCGTGGGGGGGGGGCGGCCGGAGCCCCGGGGGG